CAATATTTATTGTTATTGGTCATTACGATCAACAATGAACGCAAAGTAATGATTCTTGATTAGCAATATAGTTTATTCCAAATAATATTGATATTGGAAAGTTCTATAATTTTAATAAATAAGCCGCCGCCACTTTAAATAGATTTCCAAGAAGTTCAAGGGACAATGTCAACTAAATTAAATACAACACAACATTCACAAACTACTAAAATTAAAGAGATGCAAACAATATTTGAACTTGTGAGCCATCAATTATTATGTTGAGATTTTATAACTTGTGGTTATATCATTCTCCCAAGAAAAAAAGAAAAATGAGCATTTGGACATCAAAATCGAGATAGGACCTCAAGTTATCGAACAAAGAAAGCTCCACAAACTAAGCATTATTCTCATGACTGAAGTTGACTCTATATATTGGAATTTTAAGGGAATGAGAATGTTATTTTAATATCATTCCACTTATAGTTTAGTAGAATATTAAGTGCTCAAACAACAGACTATGAAATCAATTAGTTGATAGAGTGCAAGGAGTTCTTTGGAGACTAACTAATGAATAGTATGCTCCATTTGGTCCTTTAGTTAACAAGGAAGAGTGGGTACCTTGTTCTACCTCTTTTCCTTTGCTCAAAACAGCTATCATATCACAATTCTGTATGGTACATAGCCTGTGTGCCACGACTACACTAGTCCTCCCCACCATCACACGCTCAAGTGCATCTGGCACCACCTTCTCTGATTGCAAGTCTAATGCACTCGTGGCCTCGTCTAGTAACAATATCGCGGGATTTTTCAAAATGGCACGTGCTATTGCAATTCGTTGCTTCTGCCCACCTGATAGCTGCAACCCTCTATCGCCGCACCCTGTATTGTACCCATCCTTCAAACTTGTAATAAAATCATGGGCATTTGCTACCTTAGCTACTGTGATGATCTCAGCTTCATCAACATGTTCTAATGCTCCATATGTGATATTTTAATGTATAGTACCAGCAAATAGCGTTGGCTCTTGGCTTACAAGTGCAATGTGCTTCCTTAGTAACCTTAGGTCATATGACCTTGTATCTAGGCCGTCAATTTTTACAACACCTTTAAGTGGATCATAAAATCTTTCAATCAAACCTATTATAGTTGATTTTCCAGATCCACTTTCTCCAACCAGTGCTGTTGATTTTCCGGCTTCCATTATAATTGAAAAACCTTTGAAGATCATTACTTTGGGCCTTGCAGGGTAGGCAAAATCAACATCTTGCAACTCCACATGGCTAGTTAACTTATTAGGCTTGTAACCTTTTGGATTCTTTGGCTCAATTAAGGAACATCGATCTAACACTGCAAAAACTGACCCTACTGATTCAAAACCTTTAGCTAGATCATTTGTCATAGTTCCAACATCAGCTATAACAAGGCCTGTGCTCACCAAGATCATGAATGTTTGGAACAGTGCTTTTGATCCCATGAAGCTTTCTGCAACCAGTTTACCACCATACCAGAAATCTAAAGCCCAAGTTAACGTCATGAGGCCTTGAGAGGTTCCAAGCCCTATACCTGCAAACCATGATTGGCGAATATTTTCTTTTTGTGGGCCTTCTTGGGATTTCTCAAGCATCTGTAGAATTCTTGTTTGTGAGGAAAAGGTTGTCACAGTACGAATATTGGAAACAGCTTCTGCTGCAAGCTTGCTACTTTCATCTTGGGCTTTGATGGCCTTTTTGGACATGCTTTTAAGCAAGACACGCTTGCAGTAGTAGCAGATTATGATAATGGGTTGTGCTGCTATCATTACCAATGCGAGCCTCCAAGCTATAATCAATCCCATGGTGCAAGCAACGGTCATTGCTGCGAAAGTTTGGAGAAGAAGTGACATCCTATCGCACACTAATGACCTAACCTATAGAAATGTGAGACACCAATTTGTTATTAGATTCCATAAATTTGAAGCATGCTCCATTTTAATAATACGCTGAGTTTTTCTCAAACACATATGCCTAATGAAGGTAGTACTTAGTTCTTGTTTCCATATGGTAAGAATTGTTAACAGATGTTATTTAAAAGGATTCCAAATAGATGACTATATTTTGAAGACAATCTCCACTTAATAAGGCAATTTGAGGGTCATTTGACTAATCCTCTTACGACATTGTAATAAAACACATCTCGGCCATTAGAATCCGAATTTTTTTATGGAAAGTTTAAGATCCTATAACTCAAACGATAAGATTTCGAGCAAACTAAACCAAAAAAGCTTATTTCTCCCATTGAAAAAGATTGACATTTTGAAAGATTTGGACATTTACTTACTTCTTCTACCCTGGGAAAGCTATTAAAATGAATTCTATTAGAACTAAACTCGTTGATATAGTACATGCTATAACTACTAGTATGTATTTTGTGGCAGAAAATCAATTAAAAAAGATAATGAAGAAAATAATTGCAATATTTTTTCTTCTTAGCAGCAAAATTTGTTACTTCATTATAGAAGAGTAGTTAACGAACTTACCACATTGGCATCTTTGGCTAGTCTAGAGCAAATGGCACCCGTGGAATTCTCATCCTGATCAAACCAACCAATTTCAAAACTGAGTATCTTTGAAAACATTCTCTCTCTAATTCTTTTTGTCAAGTACTTCGCCATGACAGCAAAATTATAATGCTGTAAAATGTTGATCAATAGTGCGAAAATTGCCAACCCAAGAAAACTCAAAGAATATATTGTTGTCTTTTTCTTAATTATGTTGTGGTCCGTTTGAAAGTACACAGTTATCAGTGATCCCATGGCAAATGCATAAATTGGCTGAATTGCACCAAATAGCATTGCGCTTATACATCCTAATATCTCTTGCCTCCATTCGGGCAAATTCATAGCCAGCAGTCTTCTAAATGAAGGTATAGGAAGAACTTGATCACTGGAAATGGTTGCAATCTTAGCATCTTGGCTTGGCCCTGTCGCATTTCTTGTACTGGCCTCTCCAACAATGGATAGTCTTTTACTATCTGGGTTTTGAATATCGTTTGCAGTCGATGTTGATGCACCAACATTATTTACATTTGCAGATTCCTTTTTGTTCTCAGTTTTCTGTAGATGGACAAGCGAACTGTATAAGCTATTTTTATCCTCAATAAGCTCATCGTGTGAGCCAATCTCCATGACCTCTCCCTTTTGGACAACAGAAATGATGTCAGCATTTTGGATGGTCGAAAGACAGTGTGCTATGATGATGGTGGTGCGTCCTTCCACAGCCTTGTCAAACGCTTCCTGAACAACTCGCTCTGATTTAGAGTCCAGAGCACTAGTTGCCTCATCGAGGAGTAGAATCCTACGTTTCTTGATTAAGGCTCTTGCTATAGAAATTCTTTGCTTTTGGCCACCAGATAATTGTACTCCTCTCTCACCTACCTGCATGCTTTTTAAATGTTAGTGTTACTTCTAGCAATAGCTGTTGAAAATTATAAACTCTTATCTATTCCATGGACAGCAATTAATTTGAAAAAAGAAAAATAAACATTGAAGAACACACAAAATTTATAAAGGTTCACTTCAATGTGAGATTACGTCCTCTCGTGCCACTGCAATAATTCGCTACGACGATAAAAAAATAAACAAAGCTTCACAAAAGAAGATCCTACTCCTATGTTCTCTGGCCTCTCTTCTCTCCTTTTTCATGAAAATAATAAAGCTTAAATACAGCTCCCTATTTATAGATAAATTAGGGTAAAATCGGATTATACAAGGAGTCCAATTCCTTAACACCACATCAACAATTTATAATAAGTTGAACTTTGAGGGACAAGAAGCAAGCGAGGCAAACCTGAGTATCATAACCTTGAGGCAATTGAGTAATGAAATTATGAGCATTGGAAGCTTTGGCAACCTCAATAACCTCTTCAAAAGATGCATCCTCTTTGCCAAAAAGTATGTTCTCTTTAATTGTGGTAGCAAATAGGGCTGGCTCCTGACTGACCAGTCCCATTTGTGATCTCAGCCATTTCAGTTGCAACTTATCAATGGAAACCCCATCAAGAAGAACTTCACCATTAAGTGGATCATAAAATCTTTGCAATAGAGCAATCACTGTTGACTTTCCAGACCCACTTCCTCCTACCAATGCCATTGTCTTTCCTGCTAGGATTCTCAAATTGAAATCATTAAAAATAATGCTTTCAGGCCTTGATGGGTATGCAAATTCAATGTGTTTAAATTCGACTTCTCCCACAACATTTTGTAATATTAGGCTTTCATTGTTGTCTGAATCAATTTTCGGCACTCTTGATATGACTTTCATTATGCGTTCTCCAGCTGCAATTGCTTCAGAGAAGTACCTAAGGTTAGACAAACCGGTACCCAACGCTCTGTTCAACAAGAAACCAAAAAAAAATAAAAATTGACTAGTAAATTCATAGACTTGATATGCTTAATTAGGAAATAGTATTGATGTCAAAAAATAAGAACGGTGATATAAGAATAGAAATGGAAGAAAATCCTTACAATCCACCAATGGCAATAGTGGCACCAACAGCAAAGACAGTTCTTCCTTTAGCACCGTGATACATGACTAACGTACTACCATAATAAGAAATGAAAGACCAAATTGCAAAGACGATGCTTTTACTACCAATAGCCAAACCTTTGGCTAAACCTTGCCTTAATCCCAATTTTAAAGTCCCTTGAAGAGCAGCAGAGTACTCAGCTTGAGTCTTGCTCTCCTCTACAAATGAGTAAACTATTCGAATAGAAGAAATAGCCCGCTCCACAATTGTATCTGTCTTACTATATTCATCCCTAATCTTTTGAGCAATACCCATCAGGGATTTTCCGTAAATCAAACCTGGTATCACAAGTAATACTGAAAATGGAAGCCCCACAACTGCTAGCCTCCAAACCATCAAGAAGGCCATTATATATGCCCCCACAAAAGTCCATAAATTCATCAAAAAAACTGGAACCTGTTTTTTTATTTTTTATTTTTGAATTCAGCAACCTAATTAATTAGTGTACGTAACCATCAAATCAAAAAAATTAAAAGAAACAACATCAACCAACCTTTTCTCTAATGACATCTTGTATTACAAGACTATCACTGGAAACGCTTGCTACGACATCTGCTGTAGAGGTCACATGCAAATCAAAGTAGCCTACATCTTGCCTAAGTACTGCTTTCAAATAGCTTATTCTTAAACGTGAGGCCTGTCTCTCAGCTATTCTTGTCCAACAATAACCCTCTGGAGAACAACAATTTAGACTTGATTCAATTTCTAACCCTCCTTTCAACTATATTACCTAAGGGTAAAAGGAGACCTACCAAGGAAACAAGCAACCCATTGCCCACAAGCCAGATAACACAATCCCAATGCATTCTGTCACCAAAAACATCCAAATCCAGGTGACAATATTAGCATGACATGCACTATACCAATTCGCAACTTCGACAATTAGATGACTCGATAAGGAAACAAACTAAGGTATAAGAACGTACACTGTGACACGAGCTTTCATAAAAGTGTGTTTCACGACGTAAAGTAGACCAACACATTGGAATATTCATATTTCTATACATTCATAGAAACAAATACTATCACTATCAATAACTATTTCTCAAATTTAGAAATTACAGAAACCGGTCATATAATTATCAATGTTTCTCTTGCAGAAGATAATAGTAAAAGCATGTACAGACAGACGCACTAAGAGAGAAGAGAGGGAGAGGGACCTGATTGACGACTTGCGTGAAATAGTTAACGATTGAAGCGTTCTCAGCACCAATGCTGTTCATCACCTTTGCAGTGATATATGTCATTAATGGAATTGAAATTCCATCACCCGCAGCCCCCAAGAATCCCATAATCATCAATAAAATAT